GGGAGACAAAATTGGAACTGCACCAAACAGGTATAAAGTAACTAAACTATATTTCCACTATTGGCTCATTTCAAAAGAACTTTAGGAAGAAAAGTTTTAATATAGGCTATGTATATACAATTCTACATGGCTTTTGCTAGCAGTATACAGGAGGGGGTCTTCAAAAAGTTCATGAAAAGATATGTGTTATCTTCTATTTCTCCACAAACTTTTAAAAGTACCCTTGTATATCAAATGGTCCCATCTGAAAATGGTTTAGCATTAGATTCAGGGTGTATCAGTGAGGGTACAGTTAGGAGACAGAAACCACACCAGATATTTGAACAGGGATATTTCAATATAATAACTGTTAACTAGTAGGAGCTGGTTAACTATTTAAAGGGGTAAAAGAGGACTCTAATGGGTATAAAAGTAGCAGGTGGGAAAAAAATCAGCTACTATCTCTAGGCTGAAAGAAAATGAAAAAAATAAAGAGCTAAATACTAAGAGAGGCTCTCTTCTACCGCCTCACTTCCAAGCTGAGAGTCAGACTTCTTTGGAAACCGTGCACTCTCCACAGAACATTCAGCCTGCCAGTGGTGAAGAAACTTGTCAGAGGGCATGGGCCACAGAGTGGCAGAGCTGCAATAAAAGCAGCAGCCCACTGAAGCTGTTTCACAGTGGCAGCAGGGTCGGGAGAACATGACCTGAGGCACAGCTGGAGCTCCTCTGCTTGGACTGCTGGACTCCTCTGGTGGATAAAAATCAACCAAAGAACCAGAATCCTGAAATGTCTTCTTGTTACTACTGCTTTGCAGTGCCACTCACTCCAGGGCCCTCCACTGATGAAGCCTAACATTCTGCCAGCTGGTGAGGGAGCTGATAAGGTCCAGTTCCAGTAGTACAAACCAGGGCAAAGGATGGGTTTGGAGCTGGGAGACAGTAAGTTGATAATTGCCACAGTTCACTTCTTTGGCTATTCAGCCTCTATGTACACTCACACTATCTAACACAGTAGCTACTAGCCACATGTGGCTACTGAGTACTTGAAATATGACTAGTCTGAATCAAAATATGCTAAGTGTAAAATACACACTGGAGCTCAAAGACTAAGTACCAAAAGAAAATGTAAAACATCTCATTAATTCTTAATATCCATTCTATGCAGAAACGATATTTTGAATAAATTAAATATATTAAAATTAATTACACCTGTTTTTAATGGGGGTTACTAGAAAATTTTAAATTACGTATGTGGCTTGTATTCCAGGTAGTTAAATCCCACCCCCCAACCTCCAAGTGGCTGCTTTGGATAGAGTCTCCAATTAGGTGAGATGGCTTTTTCAACTGCACTACTTCCTCCCCAAGTTTATAAGCTTTCATTCTGCTACACATTCTGCAAGCACTGCTAACCAGGTGCCCCAGCCCTCCTCACCCAAAATTCAAAGCAGCAGCCCAGAGGCTGATTTTGAGGTATATTTCTGTCATCTCCCTCTTCAATGCCATTTTTTTCCAATATAAATATATTTATGGTACCCAATAAGTACTGCATACATATTTGCTTTATAATTCAGTCTCAACAAAGGCATCTCCAGAAGAATTCATACAATAAGAAATGCAATGTGGTAAAGAGCACTAGACTGCAGATTAGGAAAAAATCTAGCTTCTGCTCCTGACCTGCTTGGGATAAGCCAGGTAAGCCTCAGGCTCTCCATTTCTACATCTGCTAGAAGAGATATGGCTGAATTATTTCAGTTTTATTCAAACTACGTCATAAAATTGTGTTAGGGACTGTAACCAACTTTTTTTTTTGGGGGGGGGTCCTTTTTGTGACCGGCCGCACCGCGCTCAGCCAGTGAGCGCATCACACTGGTCATCCCTATATAGGATCCGAACCGGCGGCGGGAGCGCAGCTGCACTCCCAGTGCCGCACTCTCCCGAGTGCGCCACGGGCTCAGCCAAACTTTTAAAAAATTAACAGAATAAAAAAAAGATTATACTACACTTATGACATTTCCTGAAACTTTTGTTTCAGGTATATATTTTAGATACTGGTTGCAGTGTAAAACATGTTTCTTACTGTCACCATTATACTTTGAAAGCCATCAACATAATTTCTTAAAATCCTATATATACAGTGTGAATTCTTACAGACTTATTTGTTCTAAAATTATTACAAGACCAGTAAATCTCAAAGTATGAAACCACAACTTAATATGGAAAGTTTTATCACATCTAAAATTTATTTGGTGCATTCTCTGCTTGCTATTGGGTATTTTCACATATACCTTTTCCTTTAATATGTAAAAGAAACCATGTGAGGTATTTTACAGGTTTAAAAACAAACAAACAAACAAAAAAACTACTTCCTTAACTTATTCAGTTAAAATGAATGTTATAAAGCATAATAAAATAAAAACAAAAAGCAAACAAAAACCAGACAAGTACACGGTCTATTTCCATTTCCTTTTATACATCTACATATATCACACACTTTAGTGTAAGGAGAATAGAGAACCAATTCAAATGAAAGGGAATCATTGTAATTTTTGTATACAGGTGCCCTTTAACCTACCAATTTTCTACCACAAGGGACTTAAATGCTTTCAACATCTGAAATAATTTTAAGTTTGGCAATACTCAATTTCATTCACATAAACACTTAAGCCTAAAAACAGCACTATTTTTCAGAGGCAATTTCTCAACAGAAAAAAGCAATGGTAACAGTCCAATAAATGGAAATGACTTAAATAAAATACCTTTGGGAAAGTAGAGAAAAAGTATAGGAACAATTTTGTAAAAATGTAGCACCATTACTTCAATGAAAAAAAACAAAATTACCTAAGAATTACACATTATATTTTTTCAAATAATCAATTTTCATATTTAGTAGTTCAAGTTATATAAGCTGTTATTAAGCTTTCCTTCTAACTAGGAGTTCGACACTGACATTAAGTTATTTTACAAAATAAAAAACAATTTCCCAATAAACAGTGGCTACTAAATTGCTACAAAGAAAAACCCTGCAATATTAAAGCAATTTCATTCCATATGTAAACTTTTCCCAAAAGAAATATTATCACTAAGTTACAAACAAGACAGCTAATCTGGTCAAGTTGTAAATGTTTTCACAAAAACATTTTAATCTCCCTAGTGTTTTTCATTTTTTGGATAAGTTTCTTTAGCAATACCCTCAGTCCTTTTTCTAAAACCATGTAACAAAGTACAGCTCACACACAACCCTGATGTGAAAGCTGACTTCTATTTTTTAAAGTACCCTCTTAACTAAATGTTGCCTGCAATAATAATGTCATCAAATTATATTCTGCAATAAAGTACTGTATATTACATACATAGATTGAGTGTGTACGTATGTATATGTATGTGCATGTATGTATATATTTTTTCAATGAACATTCATATTCAATGAATAAACTTAGTACCAGCACACTAAACTTCATATAATTTATTTTAAATGATTTCTGGTTCCAGGTAATTAAAAACCACAAACTATATGGCAGCAGCTATAATACACATATAGTTCTCTGAAAGAGTTTTAAAGTTATCCCATCATGGTAGAATATAATTTTTAAAAATACAAATGACATTTCTAGCATAAGGCTCTGTGGTTGAAAAATCAGTAAATTAAAGAAAAATATCAGAGAAAGGTTTTGGAAAGTAAAGCATGTTTTCTATTAGGGGAATTTATTCTTTCCTTCCTAAAAAATGGCTAATAAGGACATTAAAAGGTTCGGACAAAGGGTTCTTGAAATTCCTAGAAAATAAGGAATTAAACCTCAGTAGCAGTAATTCCAGAGGTCAGACTATCATGACAAGCTGAAAATTAATCTGTTGGTAGCCAGAAGATACAACTGCTCATGTTTAGAGAGGTAAAGTTTATTACATTTAAAACAATACAGCAGAAATCTCAAAAGTTTACTCATTAAATATAGTTTAATTCTTACAAATCTCCTTTTCAAAATGCAATTCATATGCTACAACCTCAGAAGTTTGAATTCAAAATGAAATATGAAGGCAGGAGTCAGGGAAATCATATCAGAGTGCTTTGTCAAATATCTGTATAGATCAGTACATACATACCTCTTCTGTGATACAGTAGGAAAAAATTCTAAATATATCCAAGTAAATGCAGAAAAATACATCACTATTTGAGGCAGACCATGCTAAAATATAATTTACAATGATTAGTTTGCATTTTAAATGATTAATAATGCTTTTAGTTTAAACCAATAAAATCAAGGTAAGTTAAATTTTGCTGTATTTCCTCAGGCTCTTGGTAGTAAACATTAGTTCATCTGAAAAGTAACTAAGATTGGAAAAGCAAATGACCTGATCGTTTTCTCTATGCTTAACATTTTCTCACTCAGTCATACTAAATGCAGACATATCAATATAGCATCAAGATTTTTCACATATTAAAATGAAGACTAATGACTTGTAAAGGTAGACTGTGTACCACATAGTACTTAATAAATGAGCTTGCAATTACCATCAACTCAATTTTTTTAATAACACCAAGATTTACAAGCTAAAATAATCATTTGATTAAAAAATTCTGCTATTCAAGATAACTCAGTTGTCCTTTTTCTCTTTGAGATTGGTACGGGTTGGGTCTTTAAAAACCTGAAGAGGAGTTGGTAAGAGGAAAAAAAATCCTCAATGCTTTAAAAAACTCAACTGGTTAGGAGTCCATACAACTACTATGCTGGCATGGAAACAGGTATTTTCTGTCACATAACCATTCACTTTCCCATAGAAGTAGTTCCTCCAAGCAGACTATACAAAGATGTAAATCAGCTTATCCATGATTAAAACCGAAGTAATCCTTCAAAACAAAAGCAAGAGACCTCACCCAAAAAGATCTTTTAAATCATTGCTAGCTGAACTGCTATTGGTCATAGTAGTTGGTGGTTGTGCAAAGTTCTGTGGGTTAAAGAAAGGATTACCCTGCATACCAAAGGCAGATTTGAAGTAATCCTTCAAAACAAAAGCAAGAGACCTCACCCAAAAAGATCTTTTAAATCATTGCTAGCTGAACTGCTATTGGTCATAGTAGCTGGTGGTTGTGCAAAGTTCTGTGGGTTAAAGAAAGGATTACCCTGCATACCAAAGGCAGATTGTCCTACCATGTTCATCTGTGTTCCCATTACTGAACTGCCCAGACCTGGAGAACCTTGAGGAGGTACAAACTGATTAAGCCACTGATTTGGTTTCTGTTGGGATAATTGGTTCATGCTAACTTTGGGTTTCTGAGGGCCAAAGAGATTATTAAGAGCAGACATATCTGTGGATCTTTGCTGGGTCTGCTTCACAACAGCAGGAGCACTGAAGTTTGGCAAAGTAAGAGGTGCTCCCAGAGTCATCTTGTTCATACCAGATGTGCTTGGACTGCTGAAGAAGTTCTGGTTTGTATTAACTGGCATGCTGAATCCTGAAGTCTGAAAGCCCATGTTGGCATTTAGGCCGTTTGTCAAATTTCTCTTTGTATTGTCAATTGGTGTTGAAAACATCATGCCAATGCCCATGGAAGGAACAGAAGTGAAGGTACTTGAAGCAGAAAGTTTAGGGTTACTAACAGAAAGGCTGGTCAAAGATGACATATTATCCATCAATGTGTCTGTCAAGTCCTTAGTCTGAAAAATATGAGGGAATTACTTTATCTCCAAAAAATACAAATTACTTTATAATTAGTAAACATTTGACAGATTAAATTATACAGGACAAGTTAAAATTAAACTCAAGAGTCTACACCAAGTCGGCAAACTATGGCCGGCAGACCAAATACAGCCTGCCACCCATTTTTGTATTGTTTTTACAGATGAATATTTGTGATCGATTTGAGACAGGGCATACTAACTAAATCCCAATTAAGTGAAACGTATGTCCCCCAAAATAGAATTGCATTCTTCTCACTAGTATATTCTATTATTTTTATATTTTGAATGTCATCAAAACTTTACAAAAATGTGTTTTCTCTATTCTTATGTATTTACAAAATATTCTTGATTTTGTCATGTGACCTGCAAAGATTTTTTCACATAGGAAGTATTTTAATGATTAAGTATCAAAAAAATAATTTAAAGAGAGCTTTTAAGGTAAAGTTATTTCTGAAACCAATAAAAGTGTAAACTCTCTCCAAGCAGGGCCTTTATTCACTGCCATAGCACCAGCACCTAGAATACTACCTGGAACAAGTAGGAGATAAACACTGGTCAGGTCACAAGTACCTTTTCCTAAATCAAATTACAAACCTAATAACTTTAAAGCCAAAAATAGAACATTCCTTTTAGCTCAAAAGCACATAAGAGCATGAATATAATATTCCTGATCTTTTCAAAGTGAACACAGCTAAATTAGTACTATGGGACCTAATCTCTTTTAAGAACCTTTCCTATTCATCTAGCTCTCTCTTTATTGGTAACAAGCACCATTAAACATTAAACATCTAAGCAGGTTATAGAGGTATTGTTAGAAAATCCTTTATGCCCATACTTTTTAGAAACTATGTATTAAAATATTCTTTGAAATACATGTTTATACAAACACTAGTAGACTAAGTTCTATATTACCTTGTTCCTTAACAGTAGTATACTTGAAATTATGCAAAAGAAATTAACTCTGACCTGTTTGACTGGAGCAATAGGTGTGTGTACTTGGGGTTTAAGAGGCTGCTGACTTTTCAACTTCTGTGCTTGTTCTTGTTCTTTTGCTAATTTTTGTTTTTCTTCAAGTGTAAGTGATGCCTTAAAACAAAATAAAGCAAAAAATCAACTAGCCACTTCATAAATCCATTCGTAAAACAAAAGATTACTTTTTTGGTAAAGTATTTCTTGGTATATTTGTCAATACAAACTACTTCACTGAAAAACAAATTATCCCTGGGTTGGTGATTGCCACAGTTAAGTTATATTTTGAATTACCATAAGATTTAATTTTTTAGATAGAAACTCACAGGGCCTGTGCTAAAATATTTCCAATGTGAAAACAATTATTATTTTAAAACCATCTGTTAGAATCTTTGTTCAGACAATGAGAATATGATTAAGTGATTTCATTCTATAAAACTGGGAGATCTTCTTGAACTCTCTCACTCCAAAAATATTTTAGGAACTCACCAAAAAGCTAAGGAAAAACTAAACAAACATGTTCTTTCTCTGCTAATGTCTTCATCAAACCCGATGTTTATTTTTTTCTTTTATCAACCTTGCTAAACTATAAACTCACAAATGTTCTCTTACAATTTTTTAAACTACTATATCCAGTAGTTCCTTGACTTTACACATACAGATATTCATATCTGGTAAATGAGTAGAAGCATGCCTCAGCAGAAGTCAAAAACTGACAAGTATTTTTTTATATTGGATGCTCACCAAAATTTCAATAGGAAAGTATCATTTTATAGTTTATTATTCAAAACCAGAGAGAGTAAATTTTAGCAGGAAATAGAGAAGAAAAAAATAAAGTCAGATTTTTTTATCTGCTTGTGAAACGAAGTCAAATCTATTTTGAAAATCCTCTTTAAAATATTGTTGATCCACAATTAATGAGTCATGTCAACATCATGAACCCTGATAGAATAAACCAAGAAGGGTACATCATCACTTCTGCAGTACTCTTGCCAAAAATGCAAATCTTAATCTAATTCTGAGAAAACATCAGATGAACACAAATTTAGGGCCATGCTACCAAATAACAGACCGATACTCTTCAAAAATGTCAAGGTAAAAATTTGATGGACTAGGAAAGTTAGAGTTGTCACCATGGAATGAAAGGAAAGAGAGGTGAAGTTGCTGGGCTCAAAAAGAATGGAAAAAGTTGGAAACTCAAACTGCTGAGAATGTAGTGAGTAGGAGAGTAATTAAAATACTGAAGAGCAAAAATCAGGGAGAGCCCACGGTAAATGGACAGCATAAATCTATGATGGAAGCCATCAACACAGGAACAGAAGCAAAAATAGACACAGTGGAATTTACCATGAGGTGTGACTGGCAAAGTACAGGAGAAAGGACAAAGGAGTCAGGTAATCTAGAAATGTTATCATGTACAAGGCTGAGTAGTAAAGGAAGCTAAAAAATCTTTAGCATGTTTATTCTCAACATGGGTTAGGTCATATTCCATTGATAAAGATATTTCATAAAGATAAGTACAGAATGTTTCTTCTTGAGATGTTAAACAGTATCTCACAACAAAAACCTGTGGCTTACAGGAAGCCCTACAATATTAATAAGAATACTAAAAGAACAATAAAGAAACTCACTTTTTTATGTTTATTCTGTAACCCATCCTCTTTATTTTCCGATTCACCACCAGTCAGAAGGTCTGTGCCAATGTTGTTAAAAACCTTGTCAATCTGCTGAAATAGAAAAAAGTCAACTGTTTAAGTAGAATTCAATAAAAATGTGATTTTATTGCTTAAAGATTAAAAGCTCCCCAAATGAAGCACAATGTCAAGCACTTTCTACAAAAATTAATTATTTTGTTACCTGATTCCCAACATTTGTAACTTTAGTCTCCTCAGAAGCATTCATTTGATTTCCTATGTCCAAAGACCTGCAGTAGAGTTCAATTATGATGAAACAATTTTAAAAATGCATATTTTAAATACTCATCCAAAAACTATTTATCTACATAGAATGTATTAGAACCTAAATAAAATGTGACTTCATTATTTAAGGAGAGTCATAATCTTTTCCATTATTTTCTACTATTAATGTCTACTTGCTCAAAAAATAGCATTTGTATATAAGTCCTTTTTTAAAATTAAACATTTGAGATTTACTAGAGAATTTACTCAAGAAAAACCACGCAAGCATGGCTCTTACTGTCAAAGAGCTTAATATCACTGAAGGACAAGATATGATATAGGGAACTTAATGTGATTAAGTTCAGAATCTGTGATACTAACAATGAATGCTATAATTACTATAATATACACCAGATCTATGCCTTGAAAAATAGGTAGTATTTAGATAGGAAGAAGAAAAAGGGAAGGTTGATTTCTCCCCTCAAGTATAAATACTAGATATTAAAAATTTGTTTCTACCTGAATACATTTTTAGAAATTGTTTTTCAGGATTCCTATGTTAATATAGTCAATACATCAAACATCACATACACATATACCACAGAATACGTAGAGCGTACAGAGGGCTATTTCACCTATTTCTACACCATGTGCATTTACTTCCATAAGTCTTTATCTTATACTGGGACAGAAGCTAAAGAGTTTCTGTTTGGGACCTTGATCATGATTGGTATCAATTTTACTGATTTTCAGATGTCTTTTGATTCAGGATTAAACTTTAACAGGTATCCTAAATGCATGTGGGGCGTAGAATATAGCAGAGCTTTGATTTTAATAAACTGGAATTGTACAGTGAACAATTTCTGCCTTTGCCTTCTTCCTCTGAACACTAGTGTATTGCAAATAATTTAGAAAATCCTCCCTAAAAAGAGGTAGATATTGTGGTACTATATATGAATGCTCTATAAATGTTTCTGGGATTAGAGAAAAGAGAAAAGGAGAAATCAAAACACCATGGGTTCAAACATTTGAAAAATATTTACAAGTAGTGTTCTTGGTGTTTGGAAACCTGAGCTTACAATTAGCCATCAGCGAATGCTAACAAGAGATTTTCTCAGAAACAGAATTTTCTTTATATAGAGAAAATGCTAAGATTATATCATATTACACTTTTGTATAACATTCTGTTTTAACTCAATTCAACTTATTAACATGTTGGAAAATTTTTTAATGTTTTATATACAGTCAAATTAAAATCTGGCAATTTTTCTACCTCATATTCCAGAAGATCAATTATGAGATAACTTTAATCTCATTCCTACACAATGTGCAATTCATTTACAACCTACTTACTTCTGCTGTTCTTGCATTATATGAAGTTGCTCCAGTTTAGTCTTATGTTCAGACTCCAATCTATTAAGCATCTCTTTTATGACGGAAATGAAAGAATTGAACTGGTACAATAAGAAATTGATATGGTTAAAATGTTTCAAGTTAGCAGCAAATGTAATCAATTAAGATAATTCAATGAGTTAATCATAATATTCTCCATTTTTACCAGTGGAATAGGATCCACTCATAGCACTGATGTCATGACAAGAATAGTAAGTTTAAACGCAGCATATCATAGCAAGCTTCTATGATATCTTTGTATGGTGGTCATATGATAGTTGATGAGGCTTTTAAGTTCCAAAAGACGTGTCTCAGTAAGTTTTATATCCTGAGCTGTCTAAGAGCTATTATTCAGGAGACTTATGTAAGTTCACCCCCAACAATTATATATTGATTTTCCTAGGATAATCCAAAATTGATCATCTGAATTTGCGTCTATCTGGAAACAATCCATTGAACAATGTATAGAAAATTCCTGTTTATTTGGATTGTTATAACCATGTCATAATTGGCAAAAATAAACCTTGTTTTCTAAAAAGCTAATAGAAATATTAAATGTACATAATCCAACCTGCAAATAATTAAAGTTCATAAAGTATACCTAACACCATGTCTTAATGCAATTTAAGCTTTGGTTAAACTTTGGTTAACTGCTGATAATTCTTATCATACTTCAGGATAATCATAAACAATTTGTCTGAATTTTTACACCATATATTACATACACCATATATTACAGGAAGAACCTAGGAACTGCTTTCCTCTCCTTCCCAAATTTTGCAACTACAGTTAAACTTTGGTTAACTGCTGATAATTCTTATCATACTTCAGGATAATCATAAACAATTTGTCTGAATTTTTACACCATATATTACATATACCATATATTACAGGAAGAACCTAGGAACTGCTTTCCTCTCCTTCCCAAATTTTGCAACTACATCTTCATGCTGGGTGCGAAGATGTAGTTAATCCTCACAACTCTTAAAAGTAGGTTTATTAATATTTTTATTTTACAAATGAAGAAACAGGCTCAGCAAAAGGTAAAGCAACTTACTCAGAGATACTAAATATCTTACATGGCAGTTAGAATTCGAACTAAGTCTGTCTCCAAAGCTTATGCTCTTTCCTGCTACATTATTACACTGCCTCTCAACAAGATCTATCATTAGCTTCTTCTTTGTCTTATCATGAAAATGACAAAAGGCCTATTTCCTTAGCAGTTTCTCGTCGCTGACTTTCTGCAGATTAGGCTTTTTAAAACTTTTTATTGAAGTATACTATACTAATGGAAAAGTATACATATAAGTACACAGCTCAAAAAATTCACAAACTGAACATACTTGCTGTTTTTTAATCAAATGCTAAAATGTATTTTCCTAAGTAGCCTTAACTTTTTCACTTAATATATAATATACATTATTTTAAATCAGAACTGACAGAAGAGGGCAGTCTTGAATTAGGAACCCTGACCATGAAATGAACAGCAAAGCATACCGTATTCATGCTAAACTACTGTAAAATAGAAGAAAATATTTCTTTTGATGAAAACAGGCCCTAAAAAATCATAAAGCTGAAGAAAACTAACAGAACATTTCAAATGGAATTATATATCCCAAAATAAGCATTTGGGTATACTTAAAAACACCCTAAATATGAGAACTAAGAACAAAAATGACAAAAAGTTGAAGACTTTTTTTTAGCATATTTATCCTATTCCTCCCCAATATTAACTGTTTTTGCCAATCCTGACCCCAACCTTGATATCCAAGATATGAAGAAACTTAGCCAAAAGTTGAAATCTAGAAACAAACTTTCAGAGGCTTACCTACTACTTCTAATGAAATGGTGGATCTGATTAATTTTACAAATTTCTCTACCTCTAAAATTCCGCTCACTCAGCTGTCTCCCCAATGCCAAAAGCTCTCTTGCCTAACTTCCAGCTTTCTGCTTCTTTCATTGCTTTAATTCACTCTCAGTCCTTAATTCTAAATCTTCCTTCCTATCCATCTTTGACACTCTCAGTCATTGATGTTATATTTCATTAAATCCCAGTTCTATTATGAACAGAAAATAGCTTGTCATTACTCCATACCTCAAGTTGTCTTTCAATTCAATAAATATTTTTGTTTCTGGCACTACACTAACTGCTAGGGCTATAATGAAGAATAAGCTATAATAATAAGCCTTTGAGGAGTTTATAATCTTCAGAAAGAGTCAGACATATAAGTACATACAGCTGTGATAACTACAGCAATAGAGGTATGCAGAAAAGTAATTCCTTAACAATCTTTAAATACATTACCCCTTTGCTCAAACATTTACCACATCTCAAAAGTTAAAATACCTAAACCAAACAGGTACCTATTCTAGTCTTGTGTCATCTTTCTCCCATTATTTCCCTACTGTATTATACATTATTATACCCAGTCAAATTGAATTCCTTCCGTGTGGCAGACACACTCTGAAAATGGTCTCCAATTATCTCCTCCTTCTGCTATTCATGCCTCATGTAATTCCCTATCTTTGGATGTGGGTGGGACTTGTGACTTGCTTCTAAGCAACAGAATATGGCAAAGGTAATGGAATATCACTTCCTTGATTACATTACAAGAGAATGTAACTTCAGTCTTCTAGCTGACTCTCTGTTGCTGGCTTTGGTGAAACAACTTGCCATGTTGGAGAGGCCCATGTAGCGAGAAACTGAGAGTGGCATCCAACTAACAGACAGCTAGGAACTGAGGCCCTCAGTCCAACAGCTCAAAAGGAACTCAGTCCTGCCAACAACCATGTAAGTGAGCTTAGAAGCAGCTCATTCCCCAGGTGATCCTTCAGATGAGCACCCAATCCTTGACTGCAGCACTGTAAGAAACCCTGAACAAAGCCATGCCCTAGCTTGGCTGACCCACAGAAACTGTGAGGTAATAAATGAGTGTTGCTTTAAACCACTGAGTTTGTTTTGATTTATTATGTAACAATAAATAACGAATACATTCCCTCAAAACATTGTATGAATTTGTTCTTTGTTCATGTCAACCCTCCAGACCAAAATTTAAAGAAGTCCCAGATCCTACATATCTTTCATCATCCTGTTCATTCACTATCTCCCAATTAGGCCTTCAGTAATCTATCCTGCCACCCCATAAACTTTCTACCTTTAATTCCGTGGCATATTTTTCCTTGTTTTAGCAATCTTTATATGGAACATATTGATATATTTAATGCCAAGAAAACAGTAAATTGAATAAAGCACAAAAATGCTCCTACCTGGTTAAGATTAAGATTGTTTTCAATACTCAGGGGAATCAGATGAGGCAATACTTTTCCAGCCAGCTGCTCTTTGGTGATTCCCAACTTCTTATGAGTAAAAGTACATTTATAAATACCTAATAGAAAAGAATGACACAAATTTTATAAGTTAACACCATAAATGAATAGAAATCACAAAAACAGTACGTCTACATGAAATCTCTTGATAATCAGTGTAGGACAAATTTTTCCCAATCAGTGCCTAGAACAAGAATGTTTTAAAATATGAATTAGTGAGATTTCAGCCTTTATCATAGATCCAGATTAAAACACTATGATATTTATTGTGTGTTCTTTTGGTTTAAGAGCACAATTGATGATAACATAAATTTAAAAGCTTTTCAGAACCTGGTTCAGTTTTTATAGTGCAGCAGAAAGGTTACAGACTATCGCTCTGTCCTGGAAACATCTAAATATATATATTTTAGACTTTACACTCAAACTTAAGGCATCTATTCCAAAGTGTGTAAGTACAGGTATAGTGAAAGTATAGGTCCTACACCTTTATTCACTTCTTCAGAAAATCAAAATCAACATGTTTGAAACTTAATAATTTAATTAAACTCCACATAATCCTTCCCTATTGTCTCACCTATTTACTTGACCTTCAAGACGCTGCTTGTTACACTTATTCCACAAAGCCTTATTTGGTTACCTGAGCACATTTGCTCCTCACTGTCTGAATACTTTTGTTTTCTAAGTGTTTTGTATACAATCCAAAGCTTTAGAACACACCATCTACTATTCTACTAATGTACACAGGACTTACAATTTTCATTGAGCACCTACTAAATGTTTATTTGTGGGGCACTATACTCATTACTTTCCCTTTATTTGTTTCACTGAATTCTCACAAGACACCTACAACAATATCATTTTTGTCTTCTTTTTGTAAATGAAGAAACTTTTCAAAGTCACCGTATGAACTGACAGAGCCAGGATTGGAGCCAGGGCTCCTTCTAGTACAACAAACTTCTGGTCAAGAATACAAACTTCTTTAAGCACGAAAGATTCATACCATATCCCAAGGGTTCTATGCCTACAGGTCCACAATAATACTTGCTAATCATTCCCACTAGTATGTACTGAGATCTTTCATAGGCCAGGCACTGTAATAGCTGGTAAGAACACAGAGTTAGGTATATTTTATGAACTTTAATTATTTGCATGCTGGATTATGAGTAATATAGATTTCTTAAAAATTAGCAGAGAACTTCAGATTTCATAAAAAATGAACTTAATGTTTTCGTGATTCTACAGCTACGTATTTTTATTAGTACAGCAGACCCCTGTTATTTCAAGATTTGACTTTTATAGCTTTAACAATATAAAAACAATTTCAAAGTTTCTTGACAGTAATTTGTAATTATGCTGATAGAACAGAATATGCTATAAGGCTAGTATGCTTCATCAGCACATAACTTAGCAGAGAAACATACGTGTTAAGAATTTAAAAGTATCTAAACTAAAAACCAGCTTTACCACTTATCAGTTATATGATCTTGAATAACTTACTTCACCTTTCTGAGCCTCAGTTTCCTTGTTGTAAAACAGAAATAATAGTTCCTATCTCATTGGATTTGGGGGAGAACAAAATAAGATAATGAAGAGAAAATACTTTGTCTCTTACAAATTGAGTACAAAGTAAACATCCGATATTACTGCTAAGACTATCAGCATTTCAAGTAGTTTTGTTTGCCTCTCTTACTTTGTACTATGTTATGGGGAAAATATACACTATCATGATATTTGCAAAGCTAGGATCCCCAAATATTTTATTCCTTTGTAAATGTCAAGGTTCTATTGCTTTGCTAAAATTAACACAAAGAGAAAAGCTGTATTATGGCATTTATCCCATCATTCTTCAATTACTGAATGCTATATACACAAAAGGAGAATACAATAGTTTTACAGATTGGAAAATGTATTTGCATGACTGTAAAATGATAAAGTAGTATCAAACGACATTAAGTTTTCAGCTACCTAAAATTCCCATGAGGACCGCGGGTTCCTTGGATGGAATTTGTTGTAAGAATGGTAGGATATCATCAAGTACAAACCATTTATCCAAGTATTCCAAAATCTTTCCTAAGCACACTAATGAATTTACACGAACCTATTAAAAGAGGTAAATTGTATTAGTCATTTCAAGTCTTCGTAGTCTAGAACAAAATATTTAAGTGTAAATTTCATCTACATATAGATATATATGTTCAAATCTCAAGAATAAAAGTAGGTTTGGAAGTTCTCATCCTTTATTAATATAAAAATTTCATTTACTTATTAATTTTTCTGACTTGTTTCAGAAAGAATTTATGATTGCTTCACCAGGACACTAGTTAGCATAAGGAATGACTTCAATTTTGTAACATTTTAAATCAAGTGATTAGGATTTGAGAAGCTTTTACTATGTATGTGTTTACTAAGAACTTTCCTTTGGAGATATATGAATTATAAAAAGGACTACATTTCTCCCCAAGTGACCAGTTTCATTGGGATTCCAGTATTTTACTGTATTCTGGGTTCAATACATTCTTAAAGTAAATATTTTGACAACATGTGAACAGTATCCATACTTGTCTTACAAAGTTTTCTATTTCTAAATATATCTTTAATACAGTTACTAAGACCTGACATGTACATGCTCTTATCAAAACAGTACATTCACTGGACTGTTTTGATGTATATGTCACACCCTGTTTTTCGCTGAAATTTACTAAGACAGAATACTTTTAAGTAACAACTGTATCAATAAAACTCCAGTTTTCATAAAAAGGTAAACTAAAAAAAGCAGAAAATAATTGAGTTGGTTTAAAAAGCACCAAATTTCTACAGAAAAAAATTTTCTATTTCTGAAAAATAATATGCAACTGTTTTCTAAATTCAAAAACAAAGGATATTATAAATTCAAAAAGATATCTGAAGGCTTAACTTGTACTCAGAATCAGTTTCATAAAAGGAATTGCTGCATTCTACTGTTGGGTTTTTCTTTTCTTTTTTTTTTTTTTTTAAAGAGAAACTGAAAATACCAGTTGAATTTTATTTTCTTTTATGATGTATGAAATAATAGTCACGTAAGTCATGAATAAATATAGCTCTTGGAGCATTCTACCTAACTCTGTGTAGAATTTATTTTTCTTTATTTTCAGGGAACAGTATTAAGATACAATTCTGACTCGTGACTCATGTTTCACGAATTTCCTAGTTAGAATTTCTAAACCTCAGAGATATAGGTTTGCCACTGTGTAGGTATGTAGGAACACTGAAAGTTATATAAAATGCACTTAAAAAGTAATATATAAAATGCAAACCCATTCCAGAGTTACTGTTCTAAATACATTCATTTTAACTCCTTGTAAACAACATGCCTTTACGGGTCATTTGGCATCTTAAAAAGAGACATAAACATCTCTGGGCATTAATGCAGATCATTTAAGTATCCATTCTTCCCACCTCTACATATCCCTGTATATATTCTCAGAATTGAACTGGAACATGTACTTTAAGAAAACGTATGCTAAAATAAATTTATGTTGCCATAAAATATAGTATGGATATAAGATTTTTGAAAGGGCATTTTGAAAACTGAATTTTAAGCTGTATGTTACTAGCACTAATTTTGAAAATTCTATCATAAAATTAGAGAATTTTAGAGAAAAGGACTGCATTTCAAATCCTTTTAATGATAATGAAGAAAGAGTCTCAAAGAGGTACAGTAACTTGCCCAAAGCCACAGGGATAGTCAGTAACAAAACCAGAATAAGAACTCAAGATTCTTGACTTCATTTCATTTTATGCCTGTTCATTTCAGTAATAATGATTTTGTTTTTCCTATATTGGTGTTGTTTTCTACCTCAGAGTATTTCTACCAAAAACTACGAACTAGAATGGATTAGATGGCTATAAGCTAAAATTGTGTCATTTAAATTGCTTTAGTTTATAATTCTATTAAGCTACTAATGTTTATTTTTATTTAAATTCACATTCCACCAGATAAAGATGTATGGGATCTCCAAAGAACTAGCTTTATAAAATGCAGATTTACTAACATGCCCATTATCAAACAATATAAAGAACTGGTAGGGCAAAGAAGGACATTTCTTCCTCTTTTCTAAAGCTGCCATTTGAAGAGAGTATTCAACGTTACTTATATAAAGAAATATCGATGTAATAAATTCTTAGATTTAGTATTAGAAAAAGGTAGGGGATGTTTACTGCTTTCAATATGAGATATGAGAACTATGTTATTTATTCTACCTTCCTTAACTAACAAGTAAATTAGTGTTAAAATTTTGTATTCTAAGAAGGCAACTACCCTTGGTCTACATTTTTTAGTTTAACTATTTCCTTCACTTATATTCATACTAAAACTTACTGTTTTATTGTACTCTACTTTTTTTGAAAGTAGGCAAGTAGGTGAGGAATAAGAAATTTAGAGACAGATGACTAAAAATAAAGGCAATTTATAAAAGGAAGTCATTCAAAAAGTTTTTTAGGCTTATATACCAAGTTAAACTCTCATGATTATTTTTAAAATAACAGCAAAATAAATTGTGAGTTAAAGCAGTACAGGATTAAGAAAAAATAATCACTCAGTTTTTCTACTGAAGCACTCAAAGTTAGAAGACAGGGAAGACTGTCAGACATGCAATATTATAAATTATGTATCAGAGAAAGCTATAGCTCACTTTTATAGTACTATATACAGTTTACCTATAGCCAAGACAAAATATATGAACAAACTATAAAAGGGTTATTAAACAATAAGAAAATGATTTAAATTATTGAAAAGCAAGAGAAAACTTAATATGCAATTACTTACAGCAAGGGAAGACGTTTGTAGACAGGCATTTTTAATTCTTGGTATCAAAGCATTTTTCATGGATGGGTAGTCTATAAGATTTGCAAAGGTTGGGATGATGTTTAGACAGAGCTCCTATTAAGAAAATAAATTAGATCAATCTTAGGGATAACTTTTCATCCTTTCTCTCAGATATTAAAAAAGCTGTTGCGTTTACATGGCTCAATTGTCATATAGTTTGAAATTTTCACGTTATGTTACATCATTTGGTCCTTTCAACAACTCTCTGTTTTTTTGTTTTTTGTGACCGGTAAGGGGATCACAACCCTTGGTTTGGTGTTGCCCACACCGCACTCAGCCAGTGAGCACACTGGCCATCCCTATACAGGATCCGAACCCGCACAGCACTCCCAGCGCTGCACTCTCCCGAGTAAGCCACGGGGTCGGCCCTCAACAACTCTTTGAAAAAAGAATAGTTATAATCACTTTCGATTTTGCAGATGAGTAAAAAGGCTGAGAAGACCTTACTCAGAGTCACACTAGGTCATAATAGCTAGCATACAGCACCAAAACTTCCTGTTCTCATTCCTAATCTCTTTCCTTGATAAGAGAAGTCCTCATTTATTTTTAAAAATAGGGACACATAAGTTTTGCTGTTTTTATAATGAGGGAAAATAAAACACCAAGTCATGAAAAAACACTTCTCTTAAATAAGGGATTTTTTACCTTTTACATATTTCATACAATAGAATATATCACAAACGCCTTAAAAATATATACATATATATTAGTGTTTAATAATATTGAAAAGAAAATATAATGAGACAGTATTATATAATCCCAGTTTTTAAAATGTGTATGTGTCTGTCTATAGCCTTAGGAAAAAGACGAGAGTGATATATCTGAAAATGTTAACTGTGGTCATCTCTGAGGGAGAATTTTAATTTCCTTTATTATTTTTAAGTACTTCCAAGTTCTGAAACTTAAAGCAAGCATAATACATAGAAGCAGAAAAAAGTTAAAACATTCTTGTTAACTAGTGTGATGCTATCTTATAAATGATCTTAAGTGTGTAAACTCTGAATGAGGATAACAGAGAAAAAGAAGGGGTGATTGGGGGTTGGCAGATTAAACAAGATAAGAAGAAATGACTTGAAGAACTAACTGGCAAAAGTACATCTCAGACACTTTATAAGGACAGAATGATCCTTGCGGCAAAACACAGGAGAAGAGATTACTGAGGAAAATGGAAGTACAAATACGTATCAGGAAAGGAGCTGTTAACAATACCAGATAAACTTAAAGACATTCATTTATAGTCAGCAAATAGAAATAAATTAACTACTAAGAATCTGTTATTAAAATGCCAACATGTACAGGGGTACTTCAAAAAGTTCATGGAAAGATTTGTATTATCCTTCAATTCTATTTTTCCACAAAATTTTGAAGTACCCTTGTATTTTATTTGCTTTAATTTATTCCCAGACTTCCAAAAGGCAGATGTAAGAAGGTTACATGTTTGTATCCATTCAGAACTATGAGCCTTAAATAAACAAAGATCTTTGTAGACAAAGACTGAAATGAATCAAAAGAGTAACCTTAAATATGTAGTATCAGGTTTAAATCAAGTAAAAACCTTTAGTAAACAACTTAAAAATTAAAATTTAATATTTTAAATTAGAATTTCTATACTGGCAAAGAGACTATAAACTTTTAAACATGAAACTATTTGGGCAGTGAGATGTTATGAACATAAGTATGAGGGTACCTCAAAAAATTTGCAGAAAAATAAATTAAAAGCTAATATGAATCTTTACATAAACTTTTTGAAGTACCCTCATATATATCTTCCAAAGTGAAAAAAAAAACTAAATTACACTTTTAATAGCAATTCAAAATGTTTTTCCAGATAGCTCATAGAACCAAAATTTTACTAGCAAAGATCACAGAATTAGCAGTTGGCAAAGGATATGATGTCTTAAAATTGCCGTTGTGTGACAAAAGCATGACTATAATGCATTAAGAATGGTCATATTAAATTACTCTTGCTTTTCCATCTATTTGCTGTACAAATTAACTTTACTATAGAAGGAATAGCATTTCTTTTTTTTTTTTTTTTTTTTCCTTTTTGTCTTTTTTCGTGACCAGCAACGGATCGCAACCCTCAGTGTCGCGCCCGTACCGGACCGGGACCGGCCACGGGATCGCAACCCTCGGGGTTGCTCCCGCCCCTCGCTCAGCCAGTGAGCGGCCGGGTCTGTATGTGGGATCCGAACCCTCGGCGGGAGCGCCACCGCACTTCCCAAGCGGCGCACTATAGCAGTGCGCCACCGGGCCGGCCCGAAGGAATAGCATTTCTAAGCAGAAAATTGAGTTACCACACATGAAAAAAATTATGAATATGGGAAATACCTACTTAATGTTTTCCTAAGAAAAAGGCACATACACCTGTGAAATTTTTGTTCATAATTATCTACTCAAAAAGAGGCAGAAAGAAGTAGGTATACAATAATCCAAACTATACTCAATCAAACCTTCTTCCATAATAGTACATTTCTGATACATAAAAGCAACAAATCTACTTCATAATACAGGTATTTATCAACTGATTCCTTAACTTAGGAGTAGAAACTTTTTAGTAACAGTATATCAATAATGTAATTCAATAGAAAAATATATTTACTATTGAGTTTTATATAAAATAATTTATGACTTAAACCCAAAATGTACTTTACTTTTTTCTTCTACTTTAAAAATCAAAATCATCATTAAAGAAAAACAAATCAAATACTGTACCTGGATCTGAATAGAAGGAGCTTCCAGTGCTCTGTAAACCATTGGTAGGACACTGTTCTTTATCTCATCAGGAGGAGTTTTGGTTAGTAGCAAATCCATTTTTTGTAGAAAAATTAACAAAATCTATCCAGAAAAAAGGAACAATGTTAAAAGTCTAGAATATTTAAGAGATTCAATATATGCCAAAATATAAAGTTTCTCCAAAAGAATAAGTTACATATTTTGATACTCACCATGTTGCTAGCCTGAGTGCGTGGAAGACAAAAACATACAAATCAAGTCTTTTAAATTTCTGGAAGCACAATATTTAACATCTGCTCTCAGTTTAAACATTTAAATATAGACTACCTTCCTAACTCACATATCTACTGTAATACATCATTTACCCTCCAGTACCAACTATCTGGAAAGCTACTGGGTAAGCTACTGCCTGAGGGCAGCAAAGTCAGATGTCCCTAAGAAGTAAATTCTATCATTTGGCTTTAAATTATAAATAAAAAACTGCCCCTTCCATTCATGCAGAATACTTAATTTTGCCAAGGCTCAGTTAAAATTTTTCAGAAGGAATTTTTAACTGGACAACTAATGGAAAAAAGAATACCAAAGAATGGATGCAAGTCCTAGCTGATTAGCTCAGTTGGTTGCAGCATGGCGCTGATAACACCAAGGTCCATGGTTCAATCCCTTATACCAGCCAGCCACCAACACAAACAAACAAACAAAAAACCCCAAAGAATGGAGACAAATAAAAATTCAGATTATAGGTTACTCAGAATACTATCTTGACTGACGCACAGCTTAGGGAACATGTGGCTCCACCAATGTTCCCTCCTGACACCTTAACCATTTGGGGGAAACCTTGCTTCTAATCCTACAGCTCCCTCACTTGCTGTAGTGAATCATTGTACAATAAATGTATGTACTGAAACAACATACTGAAGCCCACAAATATGTATAACTAAAAATTTTTTAAAAATCCAACACTACCTTGAATCTAGCAAATAAATATTGTAATAGAATCTACATCAAAAACTGATGACTTTTTTCACTTACAATACACATATGAACTATTTCCATGGTGCTGTAAGCATTTTCCTCTCCTAGTGAAAGTATTTATTAGCAATAAAATTAAGAGAAACTGGCACAAATCATCTACAAATTAAACACCTGAATGACAAAACAGAAGTACTTAGAAGTGCAGAAGAAAAATAAGTTTTCTTTTCCCAAGCCTATAATTTTCAATAAAGTCAATGAGAACAGTATAACACATACAAAATTTCCTTGCCATTTATTTTCTCAGACAGTAACTTATGGAAAGCCATAGACATTTATGTGTAAAGCTCAAGTACAATTTTAGGAATGATTCGCTTCAAACATATGCAAAATAGCTTCCTAACTAATAGAAAAGAAAGTCTCATACATTTACCTCAATTTTTACTTTTATTTATTTTCATTTTTTGATGGCTGGCTGGTACAGTGATGGAACCCTGGACCTTGGTATTAACAGCATCACACTCCAACCAACTGAGCTAACTGGCCAGCCCCTTACCTCAATTTTTTAAAAGTCATATATTCATTCCTTTTGTTTTTAGTGATAGTCATCATCATGAATATCAGTACATAAATATGCAAAAATACCTACAACATACCTGGATTGGCTCCTGCTGTTTAAATACAGGGCCAAGTTCAGGTAGAATTAATTTGACATATTCTTCTTTGGTGCATTCCTCAGCAATGAGTAGAACGTTGGGCAAAACAAAAGGTACCATGTCAGGGTTTACAAATTCTGAAGTCAAACAAGGCAAAATTCTCTGCACAATGACACGCTGAAAGGCAAAAATGTTTTTATAAAACTAAAATTTATTTCAGGTCTTTACTATTAACATTGAAGTTTAAAACCTCTATTCTCTTTAGGTAAGGTGACCATATAATCTATGGTTGAAACTGGTATACTTGTGAGAGTAAAATAGGATACTATTGCTAACTATGCCAGGACAAATGGCATAAACTGGGAAGGTCATGGGTTAATGGGGACATATGGTCACCCTACCTTAAGGAAACCTTCCCTAGTGAGCTGTCACTGATATGTTTCTCCTCTTAATTCCTTCATTACTTATGATTCCTACAACACAACCTAAACACTTTCCTGTATTGTTAATTGGTGTTTCATACATGTTAACCTTACTTACACTTACACTAAGGGCCTTGAGAACAGGGACAGTATTTTATGCTTCCTCTTTACTTTCTAACCATCTAAGTAAAAGGCTAGACAAACAGATAACCAAATGACTACCTGATAGATTAAACACTGGAAATGTTTCTGCAACCAAGAATCACTAGTTTTCCAACTAGTGCCTCTTTAGCATTCACCATCATTTTTTAGACTATATTATACTCATGATTTAGTAAGTCAGAGACGGAGAGTTAAAGAAACAGAAAAGGCTAACATCAATACAAAAGTGTTCTCTTAACTGCTGGTGAGGCAGTGATCTCCACAATGACAACTATGAACTTCGCTTCTGACATTTAATGCCCAACTGCTGCATTTGCATTTAGGTAATATCGTTCTAATTTGTTTTTTATCTTATTTAATTTTGGACCATGCAAAAAAGGTCCACTAAACTTTTGGTTTCAGTCTGTAGCCTTTCATAGTCATTTACTTAAGGCGAAAGTCATATTATTTCTTTGGAAGAGTTATTATAGTAAATCAAAATAAGCTTTTAAATTCTAAAATCCTGACTATAATAAGAAATTGATCAACAACAAACCTTGGGCAGTTTTGGTAGAACCTTTGGCAGTCCTTTGAAAAACTGTGATTTCTGAAGATTATCTCTTTGGAATAAGGTATCAAAATATTGCAGTGTTACTGCACCAACATCATCAAAGAAGGGAATCTAAAAATATAAAAATAAATTGTTTTGATAAATATGAAGTTGAAAGTACTTCTCATATCTGAAACCACATAAGGTGAAAAAATATTCAGAAACATTTACCAAAATACTAAAGACCACTTTAACAGAAATTCTAATTATAAAAGTCAGAATAAGAAAATAATTAACAAATTATTTTTCTTTTCAAGTTCAAATCTTCAAAATCAGTACCTGAGAGTTAGCTGGGGAATAACATTTTTTTTTTACATAACTCTAAAATATTTAAAGATTTAAGAAAAATATCTTGAAGGCTGATGGAGTTTGGATGTGTTGTCCTCTTCAAAACTCATGTGGAAATCTAACCCCCAATGTGGCAGTGCTGGAAGCTGTTTGAGTCATGGGGGCAGATCCCTCAGGAATGGATTAATGCTCTCTCTGGGGCAGGGGGACTTGAATGAGTTCTCACTCTATTAGTTCCCATGAGAGCTGGTTGTTTAACATACCCTGTACCTCCCCTCTCTCTCTCTTGCTTCCTCTCACCATGTGAACGGCCTGTACCTGCCACTGGCTGCCTGCCACTTTCCGCCATGAGTAGAAGCAGCCTGAGGCCTGCGCCAGATGCAGCTGTCCCAGAATCGTAAGCCAAATAAACCTCTGTTCTTTATACATTACCCAGTTTCAGGTATTTCTGTTATACCAACACAAAACGGACTAACACAAAGGCATAAAGAATACAAGTTATTTATTAAAATCCATGCTTATAAGAGTGAAATAGAGGGCCATGAATTCTCGGGTCCAGAATGTCAGTATACCTAATTGTGACTATTAGGAATCTGTTCACTTGAAATCTTAATTTTCTATCAGAGTAATTATATCTGTAAATTATTTAGCTATTTAAGATGAAAAGAAGTTGAATATTTAATACCCTCAAGAACACAGATGTTACCTGAGGACTCTATTTGACTAAATCTTGCTTTAGAAGAACTTAATCTACTTTTAACTCATTTTTTGTCCCTCTACCTAAAGCAGAAATCTGTGTGTACTCACCTTTGTCATTTGATCTGCATCTGGTCTTACAGTTGGAGTTACATTTAACAGTAGTTTTACGTGTTCACGAACTTCTTCAGGTATATTTGTAAGTGAACTAGATCCTAAACGACTCAACTATTCAAAAGAGTGATAGCATTAAATATGTATATAAAACATTCAAAAAGATATGCATTTATATTGTTAATAGTCTATTTAAGAAATCTTTTTAGGGCCGGCCCCACGGCTCACCCACGGCGGTGCTGATAACACCAAGGCCACGGGTTTGTATCCTATATATGGATGGCCAGTTAGCTCTCACTTGGGAGAGCGTGGTGCAGACAACACCTAGCCAAAGGTTAAGATCCCCTTACCGGTCATCTTTAAAAAAAAAAAAAGAAATCTTTTTAAAATTTACTCAATATATTTGTAGATTAAACAAATTGCTAAATCTATTACAAGATAATTAAAATATTTATCTTTAATATCTAAAATTGCTTCTATTCCTAAAATAAAATACACAGTATTTTAGACCATATTTCAATATTTACTCTAGTAAATGCCATGATTAAAGTTACAGTAACAAACTTCAGTACTTATTATTCATATTTATAGAATTACTTTTATGAAATTGATTTATGCAAACAAAATGAGATAGTCATCTCATTTAGAGAATTTTCTGAACACATTTTAGAAAAAAAACCAAAGAAACGTTTAATACATTTTTAATGCAAGCAAATATTTATAGGCAAATACCTGATCCAACTGCCTACTGAAACTCTTGTAAATATCTTGTTTGTTGACTTCAAATATAGGCTTTCCTTTATTAAATACAGCATACATAACAGTTCCTAAAGAATACATATCACTGGCTGTTTCACAGCTCACAGAAAGTATGTATTCAGGAGCCAAATATTCAGGATTTGGAAGACATAATGATGGTAAATTTGGGTCCCATTCTTTACAAGAAAACTTGGGCTATAATAAGACAGAAAAGGGATTACACAGATTAAATATTTCAAATTATGGTAAACCACTATCAAGCAGTAGTAATCTATCTTTAAATTCGTACTCAGTCATGCAACTAAAAATGTCACCATCACCTTCAATCCTAAAATTCCCAAATCCCCAAATCTGGAAGGTGCATGCAACAAACTGAGAGATAATAACTTTGAGATTATTGGAGTCTCTTCCAGAAGACAAATTATCACTGTAAAATGAACATGTGAGGGTCTGGCTCATGTTATGTGATACACAGGCTTCACTCAAGTTTTATGGGCTCAGATAGAGACTGTTGCTTAAAACCTTGTTCTTTTACTATCTAGCTATATGACCTACTTAAGAGGTTCAAAGGAATGTAGTAAGGACTAACAAAATGTGTGGAAGTCAGACCTAGAACAGTGCTTGACCCATAGTACGTATTCAACTAATACTAATTATTTCTGATTCCTTTAAAAATGTCTGCTTAAATTACAAATCTATCTTAGGTCAAATCACTGTCCCTTTAACAACTATATAGTAAAAACCTGAAATATAACATAAGGTGCCATATCACAAAGGGTCTTCTATTCCATAAAGAACCAATCAACACAAAACATGATTGATCTAATGCAGTGCTTCTCTAAGCATGAATAGGCAGGTATCCTAATGACTAAGAAGCAGGTGCTTTGAAAGCAGAAAGACTGGGTCCAAATTCTGACTCTACCACTTACCACAAACCTAAACTTAGGCAGGTTATTTTATTCTACAGGCCTAACTTACTCATCTGTATTATTCCTATACCTTGCTGAGTTGTTGTGAGGATTAAATATGTAAATACACAAAAAGTGCTTAGAAAAGTGCCTCAATAAATATTAGCTATTTTTATCATTGTTACTGTTATTAACCTCCTTAAAGAAGATTCCATGATCCAGTAAGTTGGGGAAACGCTGATAGAGATTCATAATGTGTGTTACGACATTCTAAGAAAAACACTATTTAACCCAATAGTCCTAAAAGTTACTTAACTCTGGCATACTTTTCTCAAGCAACATTAACTACTGTAGAATTAATGAGCTGAGGAATAATCTTAGGTGCAATATACACTAGTAGTTTTCTATAAAGCTGTAGCTTTAATCATACCATTAGACAACACAGTCTATTAAGCATACTTTTCTCAAGCAACATTAACTACTGTAGAATTAATGAGCTGAGGAATAATCTTAGGTGCAATACACACTAGTAGTTTTCTATAAAGCTGTAGCTTTAATCATACCATTAGACAACACAGTCTATTACTAAACATTTATCAGGCTTAAAAATTCTCCATTCCATCCCAGATACAATCACAAATTTCCACAGCTTTAAAAAATTAGAAGATTAAAACCTTCATTACCTCTTGTTCAGAAGGATTGGTCGATGATACGCAAAAATCAAAACCCATTATTTTCCAGGCTCCACTTTTATTCAAAATTATATTTTCAGGAGTAATATTCCCATGAACCATTTTCACACTGCTATGCAAAAATGATAATCCTTCAGAAACCTGTAAACAGAAAACACATTTTTACATTAAATAAAACTCCTTTCAACTATGATAATAAAATGTCTCATAATACAAATCTTTCCATGACCTTTTTGAAGTACACTTGTATTTAAGTTTCTTTCTATATGCACATAAGCAGACAAAAAGATAAAAGCACCCTTTGCTGTCCAAATTTATTCAGTTCTTGAGTTTGAAAAGTGAGGGAATTTTTGATTCTTGAGTTATATAAAGTAAATATTAATATTTTTATAAACCTTCACTCCACGGTGAAATTCACTGAATAGTATTGTGCTCAGTTTTCAAATGATGTTCATTTATTCTCACACTGGAATAACATTTGGTAGTTTTATATTTGTGCCTCAAATTACTATGGTATTTGTTAACCAAAACTGAAGGCTGGATTTCTGTTTCCAGAAAGAAACAGATTTTGGCAAGCTAATCCTCCCTGACTTCTAGGACACCATTCTCCCTGGCTGTCCTCAAACTCCACTGGTTACTGCTTTTTAGTCTACTTTGCTGGTTCCTCCCCAACCTCCAAGTCTGTGATGGACCTCTGCAATTTCCCATCTACTTTCACTTTCTCAAGTGTTCTTACAACTTTAAATTATCACCTTTATGCTGATTATTCACAATATCTCCAGCCCAGTATGTCCAGCCTGGACATCTGCTAAGTCCGGACTTAATTACCTAACTGTCTTCTTGACTTCTATCCCCTTGAATGTCTTATAAACATCTCAATCGTAGAGGAAGCTAAAACTGAGCTTACCCTAGAATTCAATTCTCTCTTCCTCATTTCTCCATTTTTCTCCTGCAGTATAGTCTTTCCTGTATCTGTTAATGGCCACTTCATTTCTCTAGTTGCCTAGGACAAATACCTTTGAGTTATCCTGTACTCTATTTTTTAGAAAATCCAGATACCTCCACCATCAAAATGATATACTTAGAATCTGATCTTCTCCTACCACCTTCCCTGCCCTGGACCATCATTATCTATGGCCTGTATTACTGTAGCAGCCACCCACCTCATCTCTTTGCTTCTGCTCTTGAGTTATCCTGTACTCTATTTTTTAGAAAATCCAGATACCTCCACCATCAAAATGATATACTTAGAATCTGATCTTCTCCTACCACCTTCCCTGCCCTGGACCATCATTATCTATGGCCTGTATTACTGTAGCAGCCACCCACCTCATCTCTTTGCTTCTGCTCTTGCCCTTCTACATAGTTTAATTATCAATACAGCAGCTAAAGTATTTCTGTTAAAACATAACCCAGATCATGTCACTTTCCTGCTCAAAACCCTAGAAAGGCTTTCCCTTTCTCTCAGAATAAAATCCAAAGTATTTCTCTGGCTTTTGGGGCCTAACAGGACCTAGCCACCCATTAGCTCTCTGATCTTACCTCCTACTACTCATCTCCTTGTTTACTCCTCTCTGCCACTCTAGGTATTTCACTATTCCTTGAACATGTCATGCATGATCTTGAATCAGGGACTTTATACTGCTGTTCTCTCTGCCTAGATCATTCTTTCTCCAGGTATCTATATGGCTTGCTGCTTTGCCTTTTCCAGGTCTTTACTCAAATGTCCGCTTTTCAGTGAGGTATTTCCTGACTACCCCATTCAAAAGTGCAAGTTCCCTTTCTCTCCCATACAAATCATCCCTCTTTTCTCTCCCCTTTTCTCTCCACAGCACTTATCATGATCTAATGTACTATATATTTACTTATTTTACTGTCTGTTCTCCTATATGAGAATATAAGTTCCAAAAGGCAGGATTTTTTGTCTGTTTTGTTCACTGCTATACCTTCGGCACCCAGAACTGTACCATACATATAGCTGTCCAATAAATATTTGCTTCTTGAATAAATATGAGAATGAATTCTCTAAAAAAATCCCTGCTTGCAGCTTTCAGCATAAAGGTAAGTAAATAGTAAAGAGTGTAGAATACTATCTTAGAAGATATCTGGGTTCCTGACCCCATTTTATCACTTACTAGCCTTGCAACTTTAAGCATGTCGCTGAATGCGTCTAGGTACCAGGTGGTGCATTATTTCAAATTACAGTATATTAACTTCTAAATAAAGGTGGGAAATCATATTAGACTCCACACCATTCACAACCCTCGTCTCTCTAGTCAGCCATCAGGGTCCACCTAGCTCCATCTACCTCTACCGAACTTTATCCCGTACCTCTAGTACTTCTTATGATTTTTGACCAGGACTTTTTTTTTAAATTATCATTAATTATTTTCTACATGCAAGTAATAGGTTAAACATTTATAAACTTACACATTTGATTCCAAAATCAAACCCTCTATAGTACATTATTTCCCCATATATTTCCTCTACCCCAAAATTCCACTCTTCTAGAATGACAGCTCTAAAATGCACATCAGACCAAGTCATTTGCCTGGCTTAAAATTCTTCATTATTTCCTATCACCATCAAGGCATTTTACTCTCTTTCCAGTTTCATTTTTCACCACTCTGAGATGCAACCTCCTACTTCTAATTGCCTGAATATTTACCCCTCAGTGACTAGTACTATACACAAGTTTTAGGGGTTTAATAATATTTTCCAAGTGAATGAATGTTCTTCTCCAGTTCCAACACATTTGAACCCATGTAAGATTTACATTTGTAAAAATGCTTATTCCCCAAATAAAACTTAGAAAATACACAAAGTTTTTCAAATCTAGAAAAGTTTTCTTAACTTTGAGGGGAAAAAAAAACCTTATTTTATGATTACTGTATATTTCAGGCACAAATTTGGTAGATATTTTTATGTAATTATCTCAGTTAATCTTGGGAAGCATTTTATGGTTGGGGAAATTAGTTCAGATGTTTTCTACAAAGCTACAGTAATCAAAATAGTGTGGTACTGGCATAAATACAGATCTACAGACAAATAGAACAGAATCGGGAGTCCAGAAGTAAACCCTTGTATATATGGTCAAATGATTTTTGACAAAGGTGCCAAAACCATTCAGTGTGGAAAGGACAAAATTTTCAATAAATAGTGCTAGGAAAACTGGATATCCACCTGCAAAAAAATGAAATTGGACCCTTACCTTGCCCCATATATAAAAATTAATTCAAAATGGATCAAAGGCCTAAACTAAGACCTAAAACTATAAAACTCTTAGAAGAAAACATAGGGGGGGAAACCTTCACAACACTGGCTTTGGCAATGACTTCTTGGATATGAAATCAAAAGCACAAGCAACATAACATAAATTAGACTATAACAAAATAAAAAAACTGTGCATCAAAGAATACAATCAAGGGCCGGCCCGGTGGCGCACTGGATAAGTGCGCCACTTGGGAAGTGCGGCGGCGCTCCCGCCCGAGGGTTCAGATCCCACATACAGACCGGTTCCCGCTCACTGGCTGAGCGAGGCGCGGGAGCAACACCGAGGGTTGCAGTCCCGTTGCCGGTCCCCGGTCCGGTACGGGGGCAACACTGAGGGTTGCAATCCATTGCCGGACACGGAAAAAGACAAAAGACAAAAAAAAAAAAAAAGAATACAATCAAAAGAGTGAAAAGGCAACCAATGGAATGGTAGAAAATATTTAAAAATCATATATCTGATATAGGGTTAATATCCAGAATACATAAATCCTACAACTCAACAACACACACAAAAAAAATCCTAATTAAAATATTGGCAAAAGACTTGAATAGACATTTCTCCAAAGATATACGAATGGCCACGAAGCACACGAAAAGACGTTCAAAGCCACTAATCATTAGGGAAATGCAAAACAAAACCACAATGAGATATCACCTCACACCCATCAGAATGGCTATCATTTAAAAAAAGAGAAAACAAGTGTTGGTGAGGATATGAAGAAATTACAATCCTTGTGCACTACTGGTGGGAATGTAAAATGGTGTGGGCACTATGGGACAATGGTTCCTCAAAAAATTAAAAATTGAATCATCATATGATCCAGCAAATCCACTTCTGGGTATATACCCCAAAGAATTAAAAGCAGGTTCTCAAATACATATTTGTATACCCATGTTCACAGCAGCATTACTTTTTTTTTTCCTTTTTTTTTTTGTCTTTTTTACTGACCGGTAACGGGATCGCAACCCTCGGTGTTGTGCCCGCACCGCGCTCACCCAGTGAGCGGGAACCGGTCTCCACATGGGATCCGAATCCTCGGCGGGAGCGCCGCCACGCTCCCAAGCGGCGCACTCTCCAGTGCGCCACCGGGCCAGCCCACATCAGCATTATTTACAATAGCCAAAATAAGGAAGCAATTCAAGTGTCCACTGACAGGTAGTATATGTACAATATTATTCAGCCTTAAAAAGGAAGGAAATTCTGACCCATGCTACAACATAAATGAACCTTGAGGACATTATGCTAAGTGAAATAAGCCACTCACAAAAGGACAAATAACTGTGTGATTCCACTATATAAAGTACCTAGAGTAGTCAAATTCATAGAGAAAGTTGAATGGTGGTTGCCGGGAGCTACTGGGGAGGCCTTAGGGGAGATAAGGAGTTATTGCTTAATAGGTACAGCTTCAGTTTTGCAAGATGAAAAGAGCTGCAGAGATGGGTGGTGGTGATGGTTGCACAATGTGAATGTACTTCATGGATTGAACTGTATACTTAAAAATAATTAAGATGGTATTTTACCACAATTCTTTAAAAAATATAGTTAAGAGAATGATAAGATAAGCCACAGACTGGGAGAAAATATTTGTAAATTATGTATCTGACAATGGACTTGTGTCAACAGTATATGAAGGTACTTCAAAAAGTTCACAGAGGGCCGGCCCGGTGGCGCACTGGAGAGTACGCCACTTGGGAGCGCGGCGGCGCTCCCGCCGAGGGGTCGGATCCCAAGTTATTGCTTAATAGGTACAGCTTCAGTTTTGCAAGATGAAAAGAGCTGTAGAGATGGGTGGTGGTGATGGTTGCACAATGTGAATGTACTTCATGGATTGAACTGTATACTTAAAAATAATTAAGATGGTATTTTACCACAATTCTTTAAAAAATATAGTTAAGAGAATGATAAGATAAGCCACAGACTGGGAGAAAATATTTGTAAATTATGTATCTGACAATGGACTTGTGTCAACAGTATATGAAGGTACTTCAAAAAGTTCACAGAGGGCCGGCCCGGTGGCGCACTGGAGAGTACGCCACTTGGGAGCGCGGCGGCGCTCCCGCCGAGGGTTCGGATCCCATGTGGAGACCGGTTCCCACTCACTGGCTGAGCGCGGTGCGGGTGCAACACCGAGGGTTGCGATCCCGTTACCGGTCAGTAAAAAAGACAAAAAGGTAAAAAAAAAAAAAAAAAAAGTTCATGGAAAGGGCGTGGGACCAAAAAAAAAAAAGTCATGAAAAGATTTGTTTTATCTTTTAATTCTATTTTTCCACAAACCTTTCAAATAACCCTCACATATAGAAACCTCAAAATTCAATAATATGAAGACAACCCATTTAAGAAATGGGCAAAATATCTGAATGAACATTTCACCAAAAAAAATATTAAGATGGAAAAGACCATATGAAAGGTGTTCAATATCATTATTCATAGAGAAATGCAAATTAAAACCAAAATGAGATATTACTGCACACCTGTTAGAATGGCTAAAATTAAAAAGTCCAAACATACCAAATTTTGGCAAAGATTTTAAAAATGTAATTCTCGTATGTTATTGGTGAGAATATAAAATGGTACAACCACTTTGGAAAACAATTTGTCAGTTTCTTAAAAAAGTAAAATATATGGATACTGTCTGATCTAGTCATTCTACTCCCAGGTATTTATTTAACCAAAAGAAATGAAAGCATGTGTCCATACAAAAACTTGTACATGAATGTTTAGAGTAGCTTTATCTGCTACAGCTAAAAAATGGAAACAACTCAAATGACCATCAATAGGTAAATGAATAAACAAACTGGTATATCCATACAATGGGCCGCTATTCAGGAATTAAAAAAAGAATGAACTACTGATATGTATAATACAGATGATCTCAACGTAATTACGTTGACTGAAAGAAGCCAGACCAAAAAAGAATATGTACCATGATTCCATTTATAAAATTCTAGAAAATGCAAACTAATTCATAGTAATAGAAAGCAGGTCAGTGACTTCCTAGGATGAGAGACAAAGAAACTGCAAGGAACAGGAGGGAAGAATTACAAGGGGTACGAGGAAGCTTTTGGGGGTGATGAATATTTGCATTACCTTAATTGTGGTGACAGTTTCACAGGTATGTACACATCAAACTTATAAACTGTATATTTTGAATAAGTGCAGTTTATTACATGCAAATTATAACTTAATAAAACTGTTAAAAACTATAAATAAAATGATCTCTGTCCCCAAGGAACTTAGAATCTACTGTATAAATTTAAATTTACTCTATGGAGCTGAAGATATTATTTTGGTAAGCAGTGAAAGGAAAATCTGAAAAAGTGGGCATTTATGAAAGGCTAACAATACCTCTTGATATTTACTAAATAATGTCCTTAAAGATGTAATTTTTTACCTTTATTAAATACTTTATTTTTTATTTCAATTTAATGTTTTGTTTATGAAATGCATTTACATGGTTTAAAATTCAAAAGAATCACAAAGAACCCACCCCATTTACCAGTCAATTAGTGCCCTACCCCAAAGGTTACCAATGTTATCAGTTTCATATATTTAAAATATAACTTAAACCTAATAAACTGCAGAAAAAAATTCTAAGACATAAAAATAATTTTTAAGTTGCTGACAAGAACTAAAGTTTTACATAGTTTACATAGCTAGTAAATTTGAAATAACCAAAAACAATTTTAAAGGAAAAAATACTATTTACCTGTTGAATAAAAATACATACCTGAAGCAAACCGTATTTGGTTTCTACATCGTAAAGTTTATAATCCTTAATGTCTGGAGATATAGGGGAAGGTAGGTTTTCCCAATTACCAAGAACATTGGCTAAACTAGCAAAAACTGGTTCCGTACAAAATGCCAAGCAATCCCTGTTTTAAAAAAGAAAGAGTTATTTACTATTTTTTTTTTACACATTATCAAAATCAAATATACATAAAATATTAGAGGGTCTATTAAACTATCAAGAAGAAGGTAAATTTTAGATTTGTTAATTTTAGCATAAATATAATACACTTACCAACAAAGTAAGGAGGCTTTGTACAATAGCCCCCCTTATCTGCAGATTCAGTTACCCATTGTCAATCAGGGTCTGAAAATGGGTGAGTACGTATAAGATATTTTAAGAGCGAAGAGACCACTTCCACTTAACTTTTGTTACAGTACATCATTATAATTGTTCTATTTTATAATTAATTATTGTTGTTAATCTCTTGCTATGCCTGATTTATACATTAAATTTTTCACAGGTATGTATATATAGGAAAAAATATAGTATATACTGGGTTCCCTACTGTCCAGATTTTCATGCATCCGCTAGGGACATATATCCCAAGGATAAGGAGGGACTACTGTATATGAATTACACTGGATAAGTCACTCAGGCTTTAAAGTGTTGTGAGAGTTGTGATATTTTTTAAAACTTAAAGAGTCAGAAAAATAAACATGATTTCAACTGTGATTTTTCAAATGATTGATATTCTTTATGGAAAACCAATGAACTAATTCAATATATTGTTACATCTAAAATATTATCCTTATTTATAAGGCTGTAATTTTCAGAATATACTCAAAGGAACCTGCAAATTTCCTACAGACGCCTCTGGAGCAAGAGGAGTCAGGCAGAGAAGGACAGGGCATAGCTCCAGGTCCCCTGTTCCCACTTCAATCAAAGCAGCTTTGCTTTAAATCTATTTTATATCATTTAGAAAGGTGTCACAGTTTTTAAATTTTTAAAATTATTACTCTTTGATGTATAAGAAAATTTACAAGTTTAGAAACTGTTAGATATTGACATTCAATAGCCTTATAAAATAATGAACAAGAGTTCAGGCTTTGAAGGCAGATACCTGACCTCAAGTTCCAGCATACTTATTCCCTGCCTTGGTGACAATGGACCCCACCACTCTGAGCCTCACTTGCCCATTTGTAAAATGGTGATAACAGACCCATCTTGAAGGGTTACTGTGAAGATCAAATAAGACAATCATGTAAAATACACAGCAAAATGTCTAAAATGTAAGCTCAATATATGCTTACTACTGGCTATCATAATTACAAACATCTGAGGCTCAAGCCCAAACATTTTAGGCCTTGGGCTTTAGGCTCTGGCAATAAAGATCTACAAGGTAGTGCAGTAACAAGGCTATATACCAAGCTTCTGTGCCTGGATAGTATTTGTTTAATGGTAGACATGCCCTTTGCTGTTTCATCTGTCCACAATAGCTGAATAACGTTTTCGCTGCCTTGAACTCATTTTTCAAATGAAAGCACATGCAGAAGCTCACTACATATAAGAGATAAAGACAGAGTTGCTTAGGTTGAATGAGATAAAAGGTCATATTGTACTGCCTGCTCAGTCATCATCAAGGACTCTATCTTGTCCTTTACTCCCAGCAGTAGATTCATTTAACACAGGGGACACTAAGCATTCTCTTGTTGAACTATACTGGAGGAAAACTGTTCAAATACTCTTAAGGTCTTTTCCACCATTTCCTACAACTCCCAGGCCTCATTTATTTTAGCAACTCTTATTTTTTTCCTCTGTCTTGACCCAAAATTCATCCTTGGTCACATCAACATCACTATAATTATGCTTCAAGCTCTAAGGCCTTATGATCTTTCATGAATATTCATTTCCATTATCACTACAAACAGTCACATACCAGACAGGCTATATCCTCTCAAGGACCACCTCCCCTCCCACAACCACAGCTATTTAGCAGCCATTTTACTCTTATCCTTTTACTATCTCCACCAAACTTAGCTTCCTAGTGTCTTTATTCAACAAATTCAGTCCTGATTATACTTGATTCCTTTCTTTCCCCCATCTACCTCAACAATAAACTGTTGTCTTTACTATCCTTTTCTCAGTAAACCTTTAATCCTGTAAAAATCATTATAGGTTTCTTTTACTCTCTTAGTGTTGTTCTTAGTGTTGTTATACATGTTATAAGCATGGTGTTATAACACCAAGGTCAAGGTCAAGAGTTCAGACTCCTGTACTGATCAGTTGACAAAAAAAAAAAAGAACATTCATTCATAGCCCTCTTATTTCACTCCTTGCTCCACGGCCCCCTTTATCTTGCTTACCTATTAGCCACTGTCTACTTCATAAAGACGTATAGTTCATCTAAAATAAATGACCCCATTTGTCCTAAACTATACCTCAGTATATTACTGATTCCTCAATCATCCTCCTTTGAGTTCCTCCTATGGGAATTGACCCATGTCTTCTCTGCTGGGCTCCTCTGTATCTATTTTCTAGTTTCCCAAATGCCATCCTACTGAAATTATTAAATGCCACTACCAGCCTCTCACTAGTCAAATATAATGGATTCTTCTCAGTCCTTATTATTCTGTGTTCCCTAGCACTAGTGCATCCTTCTCCCCCTTCTTTGATTTCCATGACATGCTGCCAATTTTTCTCCTGCCAGAAGACAATGATTCCTCCTGTATCTTTCCCTGACTCTTCTTTCCCCTACATTTCAAGGTTCTTTCCTCAGTACTCTGCTCTTTTTACTCATGATCTTGAAAAGCTCATTACTGCCTCTGTTATTCACCCCTATATAAATCATCAACTCCAAACTTTCATCCGAATTACTCTTTTTGCAGTACATTTCCTTTGGGTAAATCCAGTGTCATCTCGGTATTATTAATTCATTAAAAACTGGAAATTATCTTTTCTTTCCCTAAAGTGTCCCTATTTCTATCAACGCTACTACAATTTTTATAACTTAACAATTAAGATAAGATGTCTTAAAGTAATCTTTGAAGGCCGGCCCATGGCTCACTCAGTAGAGTGCAGTGCTGATAACACCAAGGCCACGGGTTTGGATCCCATATAGGGATGGCCAGTTTGCTCACTGGCTGAGCGTGGTGCTGACAACACCAAGCCAAGGGTTGAGATCCCCTTACCAGTCATCTTTTAAAAAAAAAAAATCTTTGAATTGTCTCTCTTCGTGACTGCCAATAAATTCCTATTCTGTAATATTTAAATCACTATAAAAGAAGCTGCAAGGGGCCGGCCCGGTGGCGCACTGCTACAGTGCACCGCTTGGGAGGGTGGTGGCGCTCCCGCCGAGGGGTCGGATCCCACATACAGACCGGGTCCCCCTCGCCG